GCTGGAGTAGCACCTTGTTTAAAGGCTTAACACTGACTTTGACTTCTGGTCACTGCTGAGTAATGTGTTCATGGATCAGACTCAGTGCAACTCTTAAAGGGATAGTTCACCCATAAACAGTAGAACCTGCCAATAAACATATCAGCAATATACACTACTGTTTTAAAATTTGGGGTCAGTATGTTTTTTTTTTTTTACATCTTAGAAATGATTATTTTTTAAGAAAGGATGTATTAAATAGGTGACAGTGAAAAATTGTATATTGTTACAAAAATGTCAAATAAATGCTGTTCCTTTTGAACATTCTGTTCATCAGAGAATCCTGAAAAAAAAAGTATCACAGTTTTCACTCAAATATGTTAAAGGTGCCATAGAATGCATTGATACAATACTTTAAATTGTTCTCTGATAGCTACATAGAAGGTATTTGGCTTAGGTAAGGGCAAAAAATCTCCAGAAACGGTTTTACATGTCCATTTACAACCCTAAGATTTGTCCCTAGAATGAAATGGTCTGTTTTTATCTTATTTGGAAGGGTCATGAATAATAATGTTGAGCTCTGCTCTGATTGGCTGTTTCACTGTGCGGCTCATTTCAGTAGCTCTCACAGCAGGAAGGAAACACAGGGAATATATATATTTCAATACTGTGTAACGAATCAATTTGTTAAATCTAGCTAACAAAATATATATTGTGTGTTTGATTGGTCCAGACGCTACAACTGTCTCGCGCAGTTATATCGTTGGGTAATTATACTGTATAAAAAATGCGGGCATCAGGGAGCCGCTATTAATATGCGGGGCATTGAAACACCATTGGATGCGTGATTGCGTTTTACTTTCTCTTTCGAGATTTGCGATCGCACATGATCTATGTAAGCTCCAGCGGCAGTACTTACTACACATTTTACAAGAACGAATGCTTGTCAGTGGTGCTCAGGATCTGTAAATCATTCGCCATCATCCTCAGTCATCTCTCCTTACTCCATTTATGTGGTAAGTGAAATCTTATGTACTGTAATGTAACAGGCTACCACTAGAAAGCAGCTAACCATGTCCCTTTAGTGGCTTGCGTGATTTTATTAGAATGCGCGTTATTTGTTTTCCATGCCTTTCTGAATACAGACACCAACCCATCTCTGCACTTCACATCCCCTGCACAGCCTGGAACATAACATTTATGTTGCAATGGTGTTTGAAGCTCAAGGTATGTCATTTCCATGTACAGAA